TTTATTTTTAATGTAAAGAAACATATATTGTTGTTGGTATTGAGGGAAATAAAATAAGTTTCAACAACACATTTTTTAAAATTAGTTTTCTTGTTACAAACTGTGACAATTTCAAATTCTAACCTTTAAATGTATTTGTTTTATATCATAATTTTTTATGAAATGCTATAAAAAAATAAAATACATAATAGCCTTTTCCAAACCCTTTGACCTATATTAGTCTAAAATAGAGACGTGTAATTAATTTATGATTTTCCATGTAAAACATGGATTGTTATTTCTAAATTTATCCAATGCATTATCTTGAGGTAAATGAATTTTTAAAAAATGTATTAAAATTGACAAGCATAGTCACTAATTGTGTCCATTTTTAAAAAAAGTGAATCTTCAAAATGATGTGCTTGTTTACATGTCCTTTTAGTGTTTGAATATCAATTTGAAAATTCCAAGCTTTAGTGGTACTCAATGCAAATAATTGAAAGAAAAATCATTGTTGTATCTTGATTTGATTGATTTATTTATTTATTGTGATACTTTATCTATCCTTTTCTTTCTCATTTCTCTGGAATATTAAAGTTGGCTTTAATATATATATATATATATATATATACACACACATATACATGTATTATTATTTTTTTATTTCGGAATATTCCAGGTGTTTAGAAACATGGGAAGGAAAATCTATCCAAGCTCCTAGGGCTTTAAAAGCATCTATTTTATTTATGTATCTATTTATTTACTTATTATCGTTTTTTTTTTCTAACTACATAATTATCCCTCAATTTAATTTTCAAGAATTGATATAGAATCCAATTCTAATCTTCAACAATCACCATGTTTAACAAGTTTTTAGTTTGATTACATTTTATAACTGATTCATCATCATAAACATTATTGGTGCTCCTACATTTAAAAGTTGTTGTTGTTGTTGTTGTTGTTGTTTTTTCTTCTTCTTTTTTCATCAAGAGAAAAATTACATACAATTTTACTTTTGGAAATGGAAATACAAATCAAGTTTCAATCATGCTCTAATGTACATGAGCCTTGTATCAGAAATTAATTACAACAACATACATAATGTCTTAAGTTAATTTATCATTTTTATTATGCAATTTAAAAGAGAGCCAAATAAATGAAATAGTATTCAATGGTATATAATTTGATTTTTTTGAACAAGAATAAGAAAGAAAGAAATTCATTATATATATATATATATATATATATATATATTGAAAAAAAATTAAGTTAAATACACCTCCAAGTAATGCAAATTTTCAAGTTAAAAAAATACCATTGAATTTACCCCCCCCCCCAAAAAAAAAAAAAAAAAACCCCGGTGTGGAGCATCCTTATGATGTGTAGAAACAACCCCTATGGCCACGTTCGCTCACAGGCTCCCCACAACCGAGCGACAGTTCCACCCGGAATCCGACTCTCGTAAACCCGATGTCGTCGAAGGGCAAAAACTCATCCAATATCTCATCCAAAACACCTTCCTCTCATCGAACGGATGAATGATTTTGAGAACGCACATGGGAACGGAGACGAACCGAATGGAACGAGGGTAGGGGGGAGGGCTGCCCGTAGAGGACGGCGCGGGGGCCCCGCGCAGCGGCTCCGACCGTCTGCCCGGGGCGTCCAGTGGCCAGGCCGGGCCTAGCGCGGGTTTTGCTTCTTCTTCTTCTTCTTCTTCTGCTTCATGACTGAGCTGCTGCTGCTAGATCTACCTCACCTCACGTCGTAGAAGCAGCAGCAGCGCACCTGTGCCCTGTGATGAGATGGAGAATACAGATCTGTTAAGAAAGAGGTCGAGCGAGAGAATGTGTTCACGCATTCTGGGAATCTCGCGGAACGGCTCCGTTCGCGGGTGTTCTGCAGCGGTTTGGTGGACTGGGTCGCAGTGCCCAATCAGAGTGGGCGGAGTGCACGGTGTTTGCCTGAATGCTGAGCTGCGTCATTGACCCACCTCTCTTTGCTTTTAATAAACCCCACACCAATCTCTCGATACATCCTTCCGAAACTCTCAATCCTGCCGTGGCGTGATAATTTGGGACTCGGTTTAGAGAATCGGTGCCATCCAATCTGGTGAATCATTCCAGGATCCACATGTGCAAGAGATCAGACGCCGGTTTCGGAAATGAAATTGTGAGCAGGGCCAGAAGGTGATACTTTATGTGGGCAACAAGAAAGGGGGTGCAGCACCAGGGAAGGAGGAGGGGACAGGACCCCACCCCGCTCCGCACGGCGCGGTTCGCACCAGGTCAGTGGCAGAGGGCGTTTGATGGCTGATGAGCTTCTCGCCAGAAGCTCTGGTGGAGAATCAAGCATCCTCCGGTCGCGAATAACTGAGAGAGCGAGTGATGTTATCAACCCTTCACTGACAGAGTGGGAGTCGTTTTTCCACCTGGGATGACGGGGTCCACAAAATTGGTGCTGCGCTGGAGGCCCCCAGAGTGGCGAATCAATCCTCGCAATACCCGGTTGTGGGTTTCGCCTATATAAACTGGCGCTCGGGCATTCATTTGCGTTGGTTGAGGTTCGTTGGCGTGATGTGATGCTTAGCAAGAACAGCCTTGTTCAGGACTACAGACGCCGTTGGCGCCAGCCTCTTGGTAGACATGGCGGAATAAGGACATCCATCGCGTGATCAGCGGTGTCGGGGAGGGGGGAGGCTTGGGAGGTATGCTCCGGTGACGATGTGGCTCTTTCTCGGTCGATGACATGTAATTGTGGGTGCGATTTGCAGAAGCGCTGTTTTTAAGGACTGTCTTGGCAAATTGGTTGGGGGTATCGCAGGTGACAGCCCCTGATTGCACACCGGAGCCTGGTGCTTTTGATGGGGGAGGCGTTTTAAGGCGTTTGGCTTAGAATCTATTTTGTGGGTTTCTGAAATTTCCCGCTCGTCGTGGTTTTCGGTGAAATGTTAGCGGGATAGTGCCGATGCATATTATCCAGGGCAGGTGTCTCGACATGCCTCTCCTTATTTCAATTGGTAGCGACGCTACGATTGGAGTTTGATTTTTGAGGAAGTCATCTTAGGATACCCGTCAGAGCGTGCCCTTGAGAGTGCTTGGGTACGGGAGTGTAAGATCTGTGCCCAATTCACATGCCAGCGAGTTTATGGCGGTGGCTGCAGTTGCGCTGACAGGCCTGACTCAGAGGCCAACTTTCTCAGAGGGTACGTTGACCCCTTTGCCCATTCGGCGGCGAGGAATCAAGCTTCCGGCATTGGGAAGTACTGTTGCGTCCACGTCATGGCAGAAGAGGCGCGGGAGGCGACGGAAGGTTGCACCCAAGCGCAATCAGAAGACGGTTGATCCGGAATTCGACTTGGTCATTGTGCCCGCGGATGGGATCTCCATGTCTGGGTCGGAATCCGATGTGTCCGACTGGTCTGTGGGCTGGTTCGAGCCCCACCACAATGGTTTCACCACCGAGAATGAGATAGAGGATAGCTTCGCGGTGCTGGTTCCCTGCTATGGCGCACCATCTCCCAACATGGCGTCTGCTGCGAGGTCTCCTTTTAAAGCAGAAGAGCAGCCTCCTTGGGCCGCTGTGCTCGCTAATCTCTCCAAGCATGCCACTGAAGGTAAATTCTCCTCTATTCTATGTAGAATTTGTATGTTCCTACAGTCTAATTTAAAGATTGTCGTTTAATTGGTGCCCTCATGCTGGGTAACATGGTCTTAGTGATGAACAAGGATGCATGTATCGTGCGGGTATCGTGGTCTTTGTTTAGGTAGGGCACTATTCTTGTAATGTGGATAAGAGTCGAACTTCATAACTTGGGAGCTATGGTTTGAGCATAGCCCATGGATGTTTAGACTGGTGATTTCTTCTTGCGAAGTTTATACCTCCCCCGACTTATGCATTTCCCGTTTTCTATTCAGGCAAAGTGTTAATTCTGTCTGAAATTTGTGTTTGTAGAGAACAAAAGGCATTTGGAGAATTGGCTTGCGTGCCTGTGACAGTATTTAACAACCTTACAAGCGGTGGTATTGTGAGTCATGGAGGGCAATTGTTGTCTATTCAAGCTCCCATTACTCATCAGCATGGATGCTCTCTCCCCTTTGTACATAAGCATCCGAGGGATTCACTGCTAGGAGAGAGGAAAAAAAGAAGAGAAAAAGTCGGCGTTCCAGGGGGTTCAATTCCTAGGCCCTTTCGTAAAATGTTACATATGACAATTGGTTGCCGCGTTGTGTTAGTATCAGTTCGACTGACTAACTAACTAACAAGTACCGTCATCGAAGCGAACATTATCTGTACAGTAGACTAGTGTTACGTAGTTCGCCTTCGGAGACGAGCACAAGAAAATTCCATAAATTCAAAAGTAGTTGTCTGGGTTACGAGGATGGATTGTTTGAGTACGTGGAGGTTACTTCAGAGTCTAGATTGGACGCAAGTACTGCTCCTCTTGGTGGTATGATTCGCTGCCATTGCATCAAACGAGGGGCACCAGATTCTGGATCTGGCCTCAGCACTCTTGGTGTCATGTCTCGCTGCAGAGGAATATATATATATATATATATATACATATACATATCGATATATATATATATACCTCGCTTCATGTATATATATGCACATACAAAAACACATATTCACGGAGTCTGGAACAGAAGCCTCCAGGTTTTGGCTTCGCAAGAGGACCATTTTGTGTTTCTTATCCAAACTGAGAATAGATTTGTCTGTCGAATATGACAAACAGCTTGTCCTTTTCCTGACACCTTTGTGCTAATATCTTATTCTGTTATGTCTAAAGAAATTGTAGATCATGTGATGAGCGGCCCAGAAGTGCACTGAAGACACCAGGACAGAACCTACATCCGACACAGCTCTCACCTTTTTTCCTCCAACGCCAAACCTTGAGTTGCCTTCGTATTTACGCCATTCACTGCCGTGTCCCATAAACTTTTGTGCTGAGTTTGAGTTGTCTCTGACTACTGCAAGCTTTGTTGCTGCATAAGTTTTCCAGATAACAATGGTGTAATATGCACTCGACTTGGTTGGTAGAAAAATAATTGTGGATGATGGCAACTTGAATTGCGAATTTGAATCACTCTGGAATACTAAAATAATATCTTCATATATATTGCTTACTGCATATTAATTATACTCAGTATCTTACACACTCACACACACACATATATATATATATATATATATGAAATTTCTGCCACATATATTTAGCTCAAATAAAACATTATAAAATCAATACTCTACATCAACAAGATTATTATAATTTAATCAGTAATATTGCTGAGTATGAGTATTAATGAATAAGCTATTAAAGTAAATATGATAGTTTATTAAGAAGCAAAAACATCACCGTCTAAGAACTCCTAAATTTAACACTCTACTATATTTTTTCTTTATTAAGTTTAGGACCATCAATTTAAACTTTGACTTTGTTGTCTTTAAGATGAAACACACATATATATGTATGTATATATATATATATATATATATATATATACATACATATACACTCATGTTTCAATTTATATGTTAAAAATTAATATAAAATTTTGCAAATAAAATTATATTATTTTGTGCAACTGCCACAAAGTTAATGTGATTAGCATTACTCCCCAATCTTGTACATGCAACATATGCAATTTTTTTTAATATATAAAATCCTTAATTTAAAAATTTAAAAATTTAAATTTTGTTTGGCAATATAGGTTTTTGTTTATAATAAAGGATTTTATATCTTACTACCTCCTTTTGAAATCCAATTGCATATAGAAGTATCACCACATATCTTATTACTATCTATGGTCTTTCCACCATTTGATGTGTTACTTTCTAATCTACTTATAGTGAATTGGGAGAAATTTTAAAATCATTTATTGATATTTTTTGTTGGTGGGTGGGCCATAAAATAATCTTACATGATTATGACTACTACATCAACTTAAAAGTATAAGATTTGTGCCACCAAAGTTAGTTGTCTTGTAATTGTTTTTGGATGTTTACTTTGATATAAAAAAAATGAGGGTTTGATTTTTTTTTTTTTTTTTTTTTTTTTTTTTTCTTCTACAGTAAATATTAAAGAAAATCTCACCTTATTTCATCCTTCTAAAAAATAAATTTTGATGACCATTTATTACTGTCATAGAGGTTGAGTAGATCTTTTATAGTATGGTTCGTTTCAATCTGAGTTTGAAGCACATGAATGATCATTTTATTAACATACAACTTTTTTGTAACTGCAAACACATTATTTGAATCTCTAATTTCATAAAATTTTTATTGAAATTATTCTTTTGATAATTTAATATTTTTTAAGAATGAAAATCTCATTTTCCTTTTAAGATTAACATATAATTTCTTTATAAGTATAGTAGAATCTAAAGTTATGTATGTGCATTTTCATTTAAATTTTTATTTCATATAACACTTCCTTAAAATTTTATATGTCAGGATTTAAGTCAAAAATTCAAAATTGTTTGTTGTCTCTATGTATTTGTTAGTACCTAATGTATACGCTATACAGATACCTAAAAAAAAAAATATAAAAATCTATAACTTCAAAAAATTATTAGTAATCTTTTTTACTGATTCACCTTTAAAGATTTTTACATAAATACATAATAGTTTATTGTATGGAACTTAATTCTTTTGTCATCATTGAATATTACAAAGATCATTTATAGTAGACTAGCTTGTTACAATTATATTCAAGTGCAGAATCATATCAAAGGTTGATTTTGCTATAATTAATATTAGGTTTTCTAGTTTTGAAGTAAAAGCCAAATTCATTTTTATTTTATTTTTATATAAGAATAATAAGTTTTACATAAATACAATAAACTATTATGTATTTATGTAAAAATCTTTAATAAATTAGTAAAAATTTCATATAAATGAGAAGTTATGATAGATATTTAAAGTATTGATTTTGAATTTTTGGTTTGATTATTAAAGCTATGAAACAATGCCATATTCTATTTCATGCTTAATTTCTATTAATGTCTTGTGCATGAAAAAAGATTATTTCTTTTTGCCACTAAAATGATTGAATGGAAGTCAACGTATAAGATCCTACACAAGGTCATACAGAAAAAAAAATACTTACGAAGATCATTCAAGTATTCTTTCTGCATGAAAATTTCAAAATGAGCTTCCTTATTTAATGTCTCAGAACTGTCTTATAATTATATTTATATATCTACATGCTCACAAATAATTTGTAATTCCACTACTACAGTTAAAATACATGTGAGAAAAATCCCATAAACAAAATGAACAAGTTGAAATTAAAATTTGTATTTTAGGACTTGAAGGCACTAAAACAAAGAATGATCCCATCTTTTGTGTGAATTGGTGAAGTTCAAGTAGCATACTATATTCCAGTGAAGTTCAAGTAGCATTCAAAACTTCACTGCATCCTCATCCTCAAGCAATTCTTAGAGCTTTCAAACGTTCATTGCATTGTCATGAGATAAAGCTCATTTGGATCTCATTGAGTTGGTCCTCTAAGGATTCATATATGGTTTGTTCGTTAGTATTCTATAACTTCGGTAGCTACCACTGCTTTGAGTTGTGAAAATCCTCACCCAGACTTGTAAGTTAATCTGAACGAAAAAAACGTGAGAAGACTACGAAACACAGTTCATGAAAAATTGGGAGTCCAAGCCTTCAAGCATGATCTGTGTGTATGTTCATGCAGGTTTTACTTCAGCAGAAAGAAGAACTGTACAGAGAAGCCACCAAAAATCTACCCAAATTGTGGGTACACCTATCAACACTAAGTCTCGATGATTTGGAGTCCAGGGACTCTCGCTAATATTGAAGTCAAATTTCACATACATCAGAGAATGTGGAACCCTGATGCTTTCAGAGGGATGTACACACAAGCACAGCACAACCCTAATCTGTTCCAACATCATCAGCCACTCTGTTCCGATAGCGCCTGGAAACCCGACCACGCTTCCCTTGCCCTGTGGAGTCATCTAAGGTGCTCAAAACCTGATCGTCCTCCATCGTAATTACACCTCCTAGGTTGCCATCCATATCCAAATTAGCTGCAATGTTGACCACTCCATTAAATGGAACTCCCCTAAGCGGATCTACAGTATCGCCCTCGGAGTCGTTACCCATTACCTTGCTTGGAGCTTTGGAGCTTCTTTTAGACACGAGAGGGTTGAAGCTGATTTTGGTAGACGCCAAGGGACCTTGAGATTCCACACGTGCATCTTCCTGCTCACTAGTAACCATATCTTTAGCTGACGAAGTCACTGCCCTAGTAGCCTGAAAGGCTGCTAGATTTGCATGCTCTTCATCCTCTTCTGACCAATCCAATGTGTAGTGGATATATTTCGATGGGTTCTTCACGTAATCCGGGACTTTACTGGATCTATTTGTTGATGTCGCAACTGTGGACGGACCATCAGCACTTCTAGTTGATAGCACTGGATCTTCAGACATGAGGTACACACTAACTGTTTGCAAAGGTTCCTGCTCATCAGATCTTCCAGCGTTGAGCTCAACTCCTGCAACCTCGCCCACGGAAAATCTCACACGTTTTTTAGGCTTTCGCTCATTATTACTATCAGCGGTCCCTAACTCTCCAGGTGCTTCAACTCTAGCTTCTGCTGCCGCCTGGTCCTGATGTCCATCACTGTCGATGACCATAGCTTCTACTTCATCGTTCTGTACAACTGGCAGACTTGCAACCAAGCTAGAATCCTCTCCAGGATTCGATTGTCTTATTTCCGATTCCTTGGTGGCAGCCTCACGATCATCCTCCTCAAGTCGTGCTAAAGCAGCTTCGTGGTTGGCACGGCAGTCACGATGACTTGCTTGACGCATTTCAGTGAAAGAAGTTGGCAGTGGATTTAACTGCTGGCCATTTGCGCCGTAATTCCAAACTTGATTCATAAACAACCGATCGTTGATACCTACTACTATTCCCGCTGCTGCTCTATCATACTCGTCTTCCTCATCCGCAAAGTCAAGGGTGTCGTCCATACCCACCATTTCACGCACCTCCCTTACATCGTCGTCGTCGTCGTCATCCTCTTCACGAGGTTTAGAAGGATCTGACGAACCTGGACCTCCTATCATTTGACTTGTACTACCAATGACTTCTGCCTTACTTGGTGTATTCCCACCTCTCTTCTTCCGCTTCACGACTCGGTTGTGTTCTTTCACATCGTCGTCGTCCTCATCAACATCATCGTCGTCTTCACTCTCTAACTCCTCCAGATCTTCCAGTCCAAAGAAACTTGTGTTCAGTCTCTCGCCGTGGTTCGCACGGCGCTTATCTCTTTCAGACTTCAAAAAGTCTGCTTCTTCTTCATCGTCATCACTGTCAGGCTCCTCGGCTCCACGTGACCCCTTACCGGACTTCTTAGAAACAGATCTCTCTTGTACACGCCACAAACGTATATCTCCATCGCTTACAGCACCATTTAGAAAGCCAAATGTCTTATCTAAGCGGGACTCAAATGAAGCTTCCATGCTCATTAATTCCGTCTGCAACGATAGATGCCGGAATAAGAAGTCCGGAAATCGACTGAAAACGTAAGTTTATACTCTTCTGCAAACAAAGCAAAACACTACATCAGTAAACTAATAATCTCAACCTCGCGAACGAATTCTCGCCAGAATCAACTTTCACTATCTCAAACGTGACCAATCTCGCCGTCAAGCTGTGCAGCGCGAACCCTTATCCTCCAAACGTCCGAAGCAATAATTGCATAAACCGCCCTCCACTCTCTCATCACAGCAAAACATCTTCACACCACAAAATTTCCAAAAATTGTACAGCGACGAAATAAACCCGTCCCCTCCTCTTAAAATGAACGAACACAAACGAATAATAACACACAATTCTAACAAAACCCCTCAAACCCTAGCCCTAAATACGCGAAAATATACAAGAAAAAACCTATTCACGTATTCCCACGCCATCACTAAACAACATAGGCACGGCAGTCTTAGAAACAGGAAATGGAACCCCCCAATTGAACACGAACCAAAAAAGAAACGACAACACCAGCAATTACCGCACCTTCCAGAACTCAATTCTATTGTCCGAGAATGCAAACGAGTTGAACTCACCTTTCAACCACAATCGTGGTAATATTCAGCTTGTGGTTACGATCCCCCGAAAGCGCGGCTCTCCGAAGCACTGTAATGACCAACAGCGCGCCGAAAAACCAACATGAACGGCATTCGATCGGTGAGAAAAATCATTTGACACAATCGATCGATCTTGCAAAACAATCTCTAGGGCGAGATGGACAGTGGATTGTGGGCCATGGTGCGGACACGGGGCCGATATGTCCTAAAACCGTGGCCGCGCTACCGGTGTCCGTCGTGACAGTTGGACTGTTGTCCACGTGTTCAACCACACTTATCTACGTCATCGAGATCCTTTGAAGAGGCAGTTTGATTTCACACTACCCGGGCCACCTTCAATTCGACTAGTAAATACCTGGCTATGTAAGGCATGCGAATGTGAATGCACATCGCCCTTTGCTTCTCTTTGAAGTGGGTTTTTTGGAGCCACTTTAGGGTACTACTTGTGCTTTAGGGTTTTTATTCTTGTAAGGTTTGTTGAGGAATTTGTGCAAGGGTTCCTACCAATCAAGCAAGGTTTCTCTTCCTGTCTTGGAGAATTTTCTTGTAATTTGAAGTAGATGGTATTGTTGTTGTAGGTCTAGACAATGAAATAGTACCTAAGGAAGTTGAATAATTTCAGTAATGGATTTAGAGACATTTTTATATAACATGTGTTTTTGAAGATAATGAATGAAATTATTGTGGCTTTGTATTGGGTGAATTAGATCATGAAAAGAGCTATATGCACTCCAACATAGACTATTTGTATCATGGATATACTATACAAGAGACCGAATAAGAAGTTGAATAAAAGAGTTTCAACAAGAAGCTAGCAAGAACTTAATTAAACTAGATGAATATAAGATGCAACAATACAAATGGAAGAGAAAATAAAATAATTAATACTTGGAATGCATCAATTCAATTTACCACCACAAGGATCAATAAGATTAATTAAAAATTAAGATATAGAGATGATTAGAGTTGCTTCGACAACTACATTAAATTATATTACTTCTTTTGTCGTTGAATATCATTCAAGCATCACTACAAGTATTAGAAAACCAAGAATTGTCTTCTCTGAGAAGTTTAATGGTATAAGATCAAAGTTTTGAAGATTTATCAATCTAGTACAATAAGTGCTTAAGCTTCAACTTTAAAGTTACCCAACTCCAAAATCACAAGTCTCATTAATTCATATATTACTTTCATATTTAGCTTCATCATGATTTTTTTTTTTTTTTTTTTTTTTTTTTTTTTTTTTTAAGATGTAATCCAATATTAAATAATATAAAGGATTTTTTGACAAAATTTTGATCAATGTATAAAAAATATGCTATAATTTGTATTGCAATCAATAAGATTTGGAGTTTTTTTTTTTTTTTTTTTTTTTTGGCAAAAAAATCATTTAGTATCATTATATGTTTTACAATTTTAATAATTTGTAATTGATATCAAATGAGATGATGTTGTATTCATCAACCAATTTTTTTTTTATAGATTGCAATATGAGGTAAAGAAATTGATATTAAACTTACTTGATCTTATAGTATTGAATAAAAAAATTAAATTTGTTATAAAGTATAATAATTAACTTTTTAAATTTTGATCTAAGAGGGGCACAAGTATGACTTAATATCTTTACAATTTAATTACAATACTAATATCTTTTAAATACATATATTTGAAAGTAGAAGACATGCATATAAATGTAATATATTTTATACCTCTTACCAAACAAGAAAATATTTGATGATATGAAAAAGGATTGTCCTTATATTGTAGAGAAGGTAGACTTATTGTTCAATATTATCCAAAATAGACAATAAATTATAAAATAAAAGGCATGATTGTTAATGAAGATGATATGTTGAAAAACAAATTTATCTAACAACAATAGAAATTTTGTCACTAGAAGCTTATACAATACTTGGCACATGCCATATTTTCACCTTATTTTACATTAGATTTTTATTTATGACCTAAAAATCATACAACTTTTATCTTCTTAGATTCAAGAGATCTAACTTGTTTTTTGGATGAAGACTTTATAAAAAGATATAGGATATTTTTAGTTAAAAAATTAAGCTTATATATATAGAAGTCATAAATAATTATTTTTTTTATCTTTTTAAGATTTTATTTATAAAATTATTCCTATAAATGTAACAACAAATGGTCATAATAGCTTATTAATATTTAATATTATTAGATATTCTTTTAATCTAATTATTTTAGATTTATCTTGATTAAAAAAATATAATCCTTTAATAGATTGGATTTCTTGTAATCTCAATTTTTCCATATTATAATCAAGACTTTTGCTAACTAAGTAGAAAGTATCAAATCTAGTATAACCAAATTCTTATTTATAGGTGTAAGAGCTTTTTTACATGTTGCAAAAAAAAGTCTATATTTTTTTATTTATGCCACATTTATTTCAAATGGAAAAAAAAATTTAAGCTCCAATTCAATTTGATATAAGAATTATCAAGACGTTTTTTTTTAAAAAGCACATATTTTTTTAAAATACCATCTATATAATTATTTAATTAATTTATAAGAAGGTGTTTAATTGTTATTACGATTAATCTATAGCTTATCACAACCAAGTTCTACTTAAAGAATATATTGATAAGAACTTTCATATATACTATCTTTTATATATACTATTTTAAAAAATATGCAGCAAAGTTCTATAAGTCATCCAACACATATCCAACTTGCAGAATATATGTCTAATTTATATGGCAAGTTTTTAATATATGTGCCACATGGCCAATTTGTACTATAAGTAGCCAAAATATATAGTGTGTGGCCAATTTGTAAAACAAGTATTTAATATGTGCAATATATCATCAACTTATTGGCTTAATTTTCAACCTATGAATTAACCACAAATACTTCTAAAGTCAAATTTGTATCTACAAAGCTATTAAGAAGTTATTCTACAAGTTATAATCAAACTTATCCACTTTTACTTACTAATATCTAATTCTTCCTGTCATAGCAATTATTAGTATTGATATATATATATATATTACACCTTTTTTTTGAAATGCATTCTATAAAGAATAATGATCACATGTTGAAGAAGTAAAAAATGCGACAAATTGTATTTTCTACATATTCTAATCTTTGTTTCCTTTGAAGGTAATTCATGGATTCTATCAACTATTGATAGTGTTCCATGTTAAGATAGAAAGATTACCTTATTGTTTTATAATTTTTGAAGCTTTTATAATTTTTTAATAATGAAATATTTAAAAAAATCATCAACAATGGTTTCTAGATCCAAGAATATCACTAAATATCAAGAGTCTTTTTGAATAGAATTTTCTTTGAGTAGGAAAATGTACCATGTTATTATAGGCAAACTTTGCCAATGGCAAAATAATTGTCTAATCTTCTTCATGCTAGTTGATGGTACATCTCAAATACTACTCTAATACTTGATCCATCCATTTTATTTGTCCATCAGTCTAAAGATTGAAGACCAAAAATAATTTTATATTCTTTAATATCTTTAAGATATTTTAAAAAAATTTATATATAAATTAAGTCTTTTTATTCAATAGAATATCTTTTGACAATCTGTAATAGCGATAAATATCATTAAAAAAGATCTAATAGTTTCTTCATGTGTAATAATTTTTATATATAGTACAAAATGATTCATCATAATAATCCAATCTATTATTACAAATATAGTCATAAATACTTAAAATTAGGAGATTTGTGATAAAATCCATAGAAATATATGACTATAGTTCTTGTATTGGAAGTGGTTGAAAAAATCTATAAACTCAATAATGAGTTTTTTATTTTTATTTTTTTATTATATATATATATATATTATCTCAAACAAATATCATATGATTATACAAAGTCTTTTATTGTCTTATAAATTTGAGGCTATCAAAAATCTCTTGAGATAAACTCTAACGTCTTATTGAATCCTAAATATCCTATAACTTGAAAATTGTGATAAGCTTGAAGAACATGTAATTTTGCTTTATCTTTGATATCATATAAGCGTCTTTTGAAATAAAGAAAATTATTCTTTAATTTAAACTACGATGTATCATAAGATTTAGAAGAATTATTTTTAATATCATGCACAAGTGAATTTGAAGACATACTTGATTGAAGTTAATCAAAAAATATTGAAGCAATAATCAATGTTCATTTCATTGGTCAAAGATAAAATTATTGTAATTTCATTTTTTTTATTTTTTTATTTTTTTTATTGTCAATCAAAAGTAACATCTCTTTTTCTTAGTGCAAGATAAGAATGCTTAGAAAGGGCATCTAACAAATCTTATTATTTTTCTAAAAGATATTGAATACAAATCTTAATAAAGACATGTTTTAATGGGCTTGACAATAATTTAAAATGTGTGTTAGCATAAAATACTTGATATTCTTGTGATTTGTATAAAGAATCATAAGACTATAAGGCCCTTTCAAATATTAACATCATTCTTGAAATGAATCCATAATTGTAAAAAGTTCTTTGTTGTAGATTTAGTAATTGATCTTGGTGGCTAAAAATTTTCTTAAATAAAAAGTGATAGGATGGAGTTTGTTATTTGTTTCCATTTATTACAACACCACTTTTAAAACAAAGTCTCATGTATTTTTTTTTCCATAAAATATGCCTTAAAAAAGTCAACATGATAGAAGATTGGTACTATAACAAAAAATTGTATATATGAGAGTTCATATATCACAAATTGAGTTGGTTCCACTCAAAGAATATATTGATAAGAATTCTCATGTATACTATCTAATCAACTTTATTACCAAAAATAGATAAAATCCATGTACAAGAATGTAGCAAGTGCCAATTAAGCACCTATCTTTTGAAATTGATGTAGCATATGTCTTCATGGTTCATAAGATCCAAAACTCTAGAAGTAAATCTTAAAATAAAATAAGAAAAAAAATAAAAATAAAACTTAATTACACTAATATGTGTAATTCTAAATTTTGCACAATTGTTTAAGCATTACCACAATTGCACATGATAAATTTAGTTTCTACTTTTACCTTTGATTAAAAAAATACAATACTTCCATCTCAACTCTTACTCACTTATATGAAGCTACTTGTTTTAAAACTTCTCTTTGTGCCCCTTTTAAAGGTTTTATATTTCTTTAGTAGAATTCTATCTAGGTATAAAAAAAAATCTAGTTATATACATTTTATTTTTATCATTATTGTTATTATTATTATCTTTTTTTTATTTTTTATTATGTTTTTGTTGTTGTTGTAATATTTTGCAAGTGTTACCACAAATCTTGTTAAAAACTTGCAAAGTAAAACATCTCTCTGAGACATTGAGGTGTGTTCATCCCATGGATCACCTTTTGTTACTTTCTTTGTAAACATTTTTAGGCGTGTCATTATATTTCACAATTGTCTAGGACAACTTATCAGGAAAATAGCCAGTAATTTTCAGTACATTGAGTCCATCACCATCTGCTGCGCATTTGTATTAGTCAGCGTGTCAACACAAACGAAAACAATTCAACATCTACAAGGGAAAACGTGAGAAAACAGACACCAAGTATAAAACTTAGAATCCAGAGAAGGTTTGAAGCCACAAACAGTTCACGTGACCTCAAAATTACCATTGATTGGGAATAATTTACATAATCCAGTTTTGGTTTGCCAATATAATACAAATGGTTGACTGGTGAAACATCCCTCTTCCCACGAGGGCCTTGAAGATTTACCAATCATGTACAATATCAATATGAAATAAGCTTGTCTAACTCGGTCATGTCTATCTACTAATTGGTTCTGTTTGTGAATCCGAGGCAACATCTCCTCTTATCGTATGGGCTTCTAATTCTACGAAACTGGCGGACCGTCGAAGCTTATTTCTTTCAGAAGAAAATGATCTGAATAATCTCTTACCCGGTTTCTTAATTTTTATGGGAGTGCTCCAAAGCCTGCCTTTGTCCTTGTCTTGCTGCCTCCACCTTTTGAACGCTTCCCTGAGCGCTGTGTTGATCGCCAGGAGGTACTGACCCGCGTCATGATCTCGAGAAATAGTGCCTTCGGAGCCATAAGAAGCAGGGTCACTGAGGATCTCCAAAGGATGTGGAGAATTCAGAAAACTTCGTTCAGCGGAACGAACTTCTTTTGCGTATCGCATTGCCTGGCTGTGAGGGTCTTTGATGGTGTCTTCGTAGATATCATGCTTTGGATGCCGAACTGCGTAGAGTGCACCACCAGGTGGAAGAAGAGGATGATGAGGAGCTTGCTGTTGGTCTGGTTGAACTATGTACATCTTTCCCATCCACGCATACATCAATTTCTGCGCAAAACGTATGTTCCTTGAGTCTCAAAATTTTCCAAATGTATACAAAATCAAGAACATGATTAAAAAAACAATTTCCAATTTTCTCATTGTGAAAAGAATGAATTTGTATCTTTCTAAGGTCATAAATCACCATACACAACATTTGAGTTTGAAAGTACTCCATAGATGTGTCCATTCATGTTCACTAGAAAAAAGAAATTGGAGATTGTCTATAAATGAATCTAGAAATTCTCTGTTTTGAGGTAATAACCGTGAGTTATCATGTATACTCGAACAAAAAATTGATCAACGGCTTTTTCAAATTGGGAATGTGACAAAAAGATATGATACCTGTTGTTGAAGGCACGGTTGTTTTCGAAATGTCCCATTGAGTCGTTTCAGGACTTCGATAACCTGATCAGGGTAATGACAAGCAAAGGCTCGAGGAACAAGGTCGTAGTGCATCACCACTGACTGTACGTGGCTTAAAGGGAAACCAAGATGCTCAAGCAACCAGTCACCTCCGCACATAACACCGCATGTACCAAAGGTATATACTGGTAATATTGCAGATAGGGGAAGTACTCCCCGATGGCGGAGCATGAGAGTCAACAGAGTTGATAAACTGCCTCCCAGAGAATGACCTGTAAAATAGAATTTGGCATCGTTACCATGTTTAACCATATGAGCTTGAATCAGGGGCGTAAGTTGTTCATATAACCCCTTAGCAGCTTCATACATTCCTCTATGCACCATTACGCCCCACTCAGGGTCCTACAAAACAGAATAACCAATGGAAGGTCAGGTCAAGCATATGGTTGTTCAGCAATTTTCTCATGCATACTTCACTCCCGCAATGCAACGTGAACGCAAACGAATAATACAGAGTTACCGCATTAAGCCACTCAGTGGTATGGAATAAGGGGAAAGAGAGCGAGTCTTTGAGCATTAAAAATGAAGAGTTTCACCAGATATTCTCCCTCATGTTTAACTACAAACATAAAACTTCACGTAATATATTTAGATGCCCGAAAACGAAACCAAACTCCACAAGAAGACAGGGTTTCATACCTCAAATGTACACGACTCAAAAATCAAATTCGCTTGCCATGACGCGAGAGAGTCAGACCCTTGGATGACGAAGTATCTTGTACTTGTCTCTTCTTCGTCACATACAAACCACTCACTTGGACAGAATGCGTCAGATTGCAACACTTCAGCAACTGCGTCTTTGGTTTCTTCCTCAGATGTGAGTAACTTAGTTGCAGTTGCCGCTGCTGCAACTGGAGAAAGTTCGTCTTCAAGACTCTCAGGCTTCATATTACAACTGTCTTTCAAGGCCCTCGCTTCTGAAGTACCTATCTTACTGGTTTCTGCTGAAAGCACTTCCTTGTCTGTTGATAACTTAGCAGCTTTTTCTGCACTTTCTTCAATATATTCTTCCCATTCTGAAAATGTATAGAAGTCCTCGGCAACATCATCGAGCTCATCATCTTCTTCCAGAACTGCTTGCTCAGAATCCGATTTCTTAAAAGGAAGAAAAGACTTGGTCTGAGAAGCGAGGTACGAGGCGGCTGCAGCAGCCATGGCGTAAGTGGATTTTGCAGGATTCAACTTTCCAATTTCTGTTTTCACTTTACTGCTACTTGTAGGAAGATGGTCCTCACTGCTATCAAAGGCCTTCTCCATCTCTTTGTCTTCGAAAGAGGTTTTTTCCTTCCCCGAAGTGGTTTTTCTTTCAAGTGAAGAAGTGATAAATTGTAACCCGTATAGCTTCGCAAGCTCTTCTTTCTGCCATCCCAAACCAACGTTCCTATATTAACATTACAATACTGCATCACATGATACATTACCATTGCAAAACTTCAGAGAACAATCTTCACGTTGGAACAACAAAAGGAAAATAGCCCAGGTGAGGACACACCAAACCCAGAACTTGAAAGAGAGTTTGTAATGTAATTTGAGATACTTTTCAATATCATCAAAACGATAGTGGTAGAATTACATTACCAAACTCCCATGTAATGATTGGAGATACCAACATCACATCACAGCTGATTTAAATGCACAAAGGACGCGCGTAGAATTCCATGGATTATTACCTTGATTTCGGGAATATAATAAGCCTGATTGCAGAGGTTCGACATTTTAGAAAAGAACTTTAGGTCAGAATATTCCATGCGCTGCAAGAATTCTCCAAAACTGCCTTTATCGTGTACCACAGGGATCTCAAAACCAATTACAGATTTTTTCAGCTTGGGCTCCGATTGCAAATAATGATCACCTCCGCAAACCTCACATCCGCATTCAGGATGTAGCCCAGGAACCCGTACATGATCATCAACTTCTTCGTCGCCAATTTTTGGAAAATCAAAGCCATACTTGCGTAAGTAGACCAAATTCACTATGCTTGGAACCCAGCTCTTCAATCTGTCGCTAATGTTAAAAGTGGTTTCCTCCTTTAACTCTTGAGACCGAGTATCTTCTGCAAAACTCTCCAACCCTTCATTTGTATCTACTTCTCCCAGCCTGGGAGCGGATGACAATGATAAAGGATTACCATTACGTTTTTCGTTTTCTTCCTTTACTACAACTTCCTCCAACTTACTCTGATCGTAGAACCACAGAAACTTCAGAGGAGAAGGCAGCTTATCTCGACTAGGAATTTTTGGAAGCGACAACCGAATAGGCAAGGGCAAGGGCAAGGACTTATTGAATGACGTAGAAACATCAGAGCGGTTTGATTCTCCTTTGGGTTCCCCCTCTGTAGAATTGGATAGGACTGAAGGAGAGGAAGCTAACAAAGATGGTTTCGCGGAGTGCGATTTATGGAATTTCTCAGAATCTTTACTATTTGGAGTATGAATAGAAGAAGTGGAAGCTATAACACCCAAATACGGCCTGTGTGGCCTACAAAGCATGACATTCATGACTACTACTGCTTGTACACTTTTTCAACCACTAGCGGAACACAAACGCTCAGAAATTGCTTCGAAGTCCAAGTAGAATGTCCTCTCTCTTGTATTTGATGAGCATCTGTTAAAAAACCAACATAATAATCTCCCATGTCAGCCCATCTGGACTCAACAGAGTGATGAACAATTTGTATAAATCATGACTGAATTGGAAAAAATTCCAAATTGAACCTCCGGACCAGAGGATTTCTTAGTTAGATAGCAGTGAATTTGGTGGAATCACGGTTACACCAACAATTATCATCCACCAGGCACAACCTACACAAACATCTTCGATTATCGTCCTATTTAGTGAATAACTTTCCATGGACAGCGATCGAAAGTAGATAAATTCACACAAAGTACCTAACACGCAAAGTGCATCAGAAAATATTTCATGACTCAAGCAACATGTAGAAGGGAACAGCGTCGATTTGGTAACCACCCAGACCAAATAGCGAAGTCCGCATTGAGAATTCCCATCCCAACTGAATACACGAAATCACAACCCGTAACTGCTGAAAAATCTGAATCATAATTTTCGACAGTTACGAACTGAAATACAATCACCATACTCCTAGAATTAAAACCAAAACACAACACAACAAAACACAGTCTCGTATAACAAAGCACAAAATAGCCGCTATCCTCTGTCTCAGATAAATCGATGAAAAGGCTCTTCGCAAACCAAGCTACCGAGACCATGAGCAACCAATTCCCTCAAGCAAGAAGCTCACCTGCATTGAACTCAACTCGATCGCTGAATGAATCTGATCAAAACTTTCGCAAATCTATGGAACATTCACCATGAGAAATCGAGTGGTACATTTTTAACTCGTCAAAAGTTTCATCACCATTGAAATCAACGTTCCTGGAAGCGGAACCTACAGGAGAGAGGGAGTGGGCGGAAAGAACGATACTAGAGCCAACTGCACGAGCCACAATAGGGCCAGGCTACAGTCATAAATTAAAAAAATATAATGAGGGAGATAGTTTATCATAATACACATCATACAGAAGGATCCAATACTCATCGGCCTAGTCCACGTCGCAGGCGCAGGAATTGACACCTTGACTAGAAGGCTAAAGTGGAATGAAAAGGCGACAGAGGTGGCACGCTCTGAAAGAGCTATGCAGCCTCCGGATGCTACGGCGGCGGCTTCATTCACAAACGTTTAGAGAGGTTGAATCTGCACCGCCGCCTTCTCAAAACCCCTGCCGATGATCACCCTCTAGAATTACTAATTTAGTCTTAAATTCTGCCCTCCACTCAGTGCTGACGGCCCTCCCGTTCGTCGCACATAACAACTTCCGATCACACACTCTTCTCTCCCCTCCTCTCCTCGCCGATCCTTCCTTTGCATCATCCCCGCAGGCTCCTCGACGCAAACCCAAATCCTCGCAGCAAACCCTAAATCCAGAAACTCCACATATTTCTAAATTTAGAAATATCTCGAGGGAACGCTACAAATTGAGACCCCTAGTAGTGCATGAGTTTGATGGATATAAATGGTAATGGTTCACACATTAAACTTGTAGATAGTTAAATTTACACATTATAACTTGTAAAACAAAATAACAATATAAAATCAAAATTATCTTTGTCCCAAATTTATTAAACAATACCATGTAAACCTCAAATAATATTTAAAGAATGTAATGCATAAAATTATATTCTTATTTAATTTGGTTTGATATATGTGTGTATATATATATATATATATATATATATATAAGAATATCTATCTTAATATCTTAAGTTTTGTATTAATAAAATTATTTTATTTTTTGTGTTATTGTAGATATGTATATACACATATATTTTACAACTTTGTTAAAACTACCACTAAAAATTTGCAATTGTATTAATTTATTGTTTTGATATATAACAATTGAATATAAAGTTAGTATTTAGTCATAGTATACAATTTCATTAATTGATGGCTAATTTGATACAAGACTTTCATTTTTTTTTATGATACAAAATTTGTTCAAAATTAAATGAAAAATTTCTTATATAATTAAAATTTTAATCTACTTGTACTTTATAAGACCATTATTCAAATATCTATTATGTAAGATAATCACATAATTTCAAAATTTGATCAAAAATTCACTAATGGTAGAAGAATTAAGTAAAGTCAATCTTTTATTAGTTTCAATCATCACAAATTGTAACTTAAAAATACTTCCATGTCAAAAAAGACCTCTCTACTTGCTTACAAACATGTAGAGGTCAATAATATTAAGTTTATAATATTTACTATACTTTTTTCTAGACTCTTTAAATTTTCTTAGACAATTCACAAAAGAAGAAAGATGTAATTATTTTTTTATAATATCTTCAAAAAAATATTTTTATTTTATTTATGTTTTCCTAATTACCTAAGAAATTCTAAAATTTATATACTTTAATGATCTTTTGTCAAGAATACAAATTCAATGAAGGCAAATAAACAAATGAGATTTTTTTCAAAGAAAAATAATAAAATAAAAATAAAAAGATATATATATATATATATATATATATATATATATATATATATTTGAAAAGAAATTGGAATGGCTATTGCCAAAAGACAAGAAAACTAGAGACCCTTGAAACTATATTAGAAGCAAGAAAAGAGTTGATAAGAATGAAGAAGGCTTCAATCTGGTATCCATATATACCATCTAAATAGAAGCTACATGTCAATGTTTTATAGGACCTCCAACATATGTCTAATTTGCAAGACATATGTCTTAATTTGCAAGGCAAGTTTCCTATATGTGCGCCACATAATTAACTTATATCAAAAGCTATCAACATGTACAATATATGGCTAATTTGTTGGCAAAGAGTTCAATCTATCAATTACTTATAGACATGTATAAAGGTGAAATTGCACATATGAGCTTCTAAAAAGTATGTCTACAAGATATTATCAAATTAATTTATTTTTATCTATTTTTATCTATTTATATTATCTAGATAACTATGAAATTAAATATGTATGTTTGTGATATTATCTCCGTTTTTAGAGACAAGTTTTACAAAGAATAGTGATTACATGTTGATGAAGTTCAAGATGCAATAAATTGTATTTGCCACATATTCTAATCTTCATTCTTTTCAAAGGAAGTTGATATGTCTTCTTAGCTATTAATAATATCTTATTCTAAAGCGAGAAGACCACCTTGATATTTGATCATTATTAAGGCCTTGGTAACTTCTTTCAAATAAAATATTTATTAAAATAATAGGATTTTTTTTTACTTCTAATAAAATCACCAAACATCAAGAATCTCTTTTATGGCATGATAGCAAATCCATTATATCTTGCTATTTGTTTGAAAAAGAATATATTTTTCTTGAAGGCCTTATTATGGAAATTTAACAAAAAAGTTTAAAGAATATTTTAAAAATATTTTATTAGATTTTAGAAGGTTTTAGAAGTTTTTTAAAATATTTTAAGTAAAGATTTTAGAATATTTTAGATGGTTTTAAAAAGATTTCAAAATATTCCAATAGATTTTAAAAAGTTCTAGAATGATTAAAGAAGTTGTTTAAGAAGATTCTTAGGATTATTTCGTCTTCAAGTGATATGAAAACTTTTTAAAAAGCTTCTTAATACCTAGTAATATTGGAATTGAAGCTAAGAAGATCTTTAGTCCAATAACATGTGTCTTGAAATTCTGCTTCAATTTTTTTGATGTTGATCGTATATTCATCTAATTTAATACTAAAAAATTATTATTTTTTTTTTTTTTTTTTTTTTTTTACAAATTTTATTTCTAATATTTTTTAAAAAAATTTTTTTTTTTTAAAAGGTTTTTTTTAAATTTTCTTAAAGTTTTTTTTTTTTTTTTTTTTTTTTTTTTTCTTTGAGATTAATTTATGAATTTTTATGTTTTTTTCAACTTCTTTTAAATTTATTTTGGATTGATTTAATTTTAATCAAGGTTATTAGAAATTAATTAAAGTTTATTTAAGACTCTATTAAACTTGGTAGGATTTTTATTGCATTTTTATTTACCTTCTATAGCTAGGTGCTTGGTGTGTTCTTAAGCAAGAATACACATTATACAACACCATCTCCTTGGACGTAGAAGCTTAAAGAAGTGGTTACATTACAAGCTAAATTGCTTAAAGTCTTGCATTACCATAAAATCTTCCAAAAAATCCCTCAATTTCAATAGTTCTACAAGATAAAAGCATTTAGCATAGTCATAATAGCATATAACTTAGATTCAATAGATTCAACTATACTAACATCTTCTCTTTTGGCCATCTTGAAAGAAAAAATAAAGAAGTTTTTAAATAATACAAATTTAGAAGAAGATAATCTATAATCTCTAAAGTGCTCACATGCTTTCAAATAGAGTGATAATCTACAAGCTATTAAAAAGAATCAAGCTCTAATATAAATAAGAAGGTGGTTTTGAAAAATTGTCATGGATACACTATACAAAAGATCAAACAACAAGTTGAATTAAAGAGTTTCAACAAAAAAGTTAGCAAGAAAAAATTAAAAAATTTGGTATTGATCATGTATTCATTTAAAAAATACTAAAAATTAAATCCTAAATAAATCCTAAATAAATTCTAATCAAATTCTAATTTAATTCTAATTAAAATCCTAATGAACTTTAACCAAAATTTAAATCAAAACCTAATTAAATCCTATTGTATTCCTAATAAAATCCTAATCAAATTTTAATCAAACATTAATGAAATTTAGAAAAAATCATAAATCCTAATGAAATCTTCGATCTTAAATCAATCCTAATCAATCTTTGATAAAATCCTAAATTTTAGTCAAATTCTTAAAAAATCCTATAGAAGATTAAAAATTCCATAAATAATGATTGAACCATAGATTTTGTCTCAAATTTTGCACACCTTGCAAAAACTAAGTTAGCAATAAATATAAAAAATTTGAAGAAGATTTCTCATACTTAATAGACAATAATTTCAAAACTCCACTTGGAAGTTGGCCGGCCTCCTTCTCTAACATTGATGTTTATATTCCTAAGCCATAATTCCTTAATTTCACCATTCAATTCATTCCAAAATTTTTACAATTATTGAAAATTAAACTAACTATCTTTGAGAAAATTATATTTCAATCCAATTAGCGGATTGATAAATGTTTTAGAAATCCTCATCGGGCCTTCAAACTCTAATTTTCTAGACCATAATCTATAAAAACTCTCATACACTTCAATCTAATTGTTCAATTGACGTCAAATTTCTTACACAAATTTACAACAATTACAACAATATTTTTTTTTATAATTTTCACCTATAAATAAGCTATAAAATTCATAAAATCTTAAAATTTATAATTTTTTTTTTTTTTTTTTTAAAATCCAAACCTATTGAGTATATCATTAATTTTGAAAATTCTTCAAAATCTCAATATTAATCCAAATAATATGAAACTAATATTCAAAAATCTTTTCTAAAGTCTGCTTTTGAATCTCATTCTTTAATTGACAAAAGAACCTTAGAATTGCCATAGGTGCAAAGTTTTATGCATTGTGATCTAATTTCAATCTATGTTAATAAAAAACCCTCTTTAAGTATCAATTTTTAACAATTTGAAATAAATTTTGCATTAAATTATTATTAATTCTGTTTTAAACATATCTATAATAATTTCTTATTTCATTTAATTTGATTTGGCTCATTTATGCCTCTATAAATTAATTAGAAGTTCTTTCTATATAATATAATATTAAGACTAAACTTTTTACTATTTTCTGATAATTTATTATTTTTTTTATTATATCTTTCTATTAGGATTTTTTATAATAACATCCATATTTTTATTTTTCACCATATAGCCATATTATCACATGAAAATGATGGCACTTATACCTCAATAAGAAAACTTACCTATTCAACAATATAAGAAGCCTTAGATTGTCTTTTAAAAAAGTTTGATGGCACATGTTCTAAATTTTAAGGATTTCTTAATAAAATTT